ATTTTTTTTTTTTTTTTTTTTTTTTTTTTTAAAGTTCTTGTGATTGAGCCGCTGAAAATGAATATAAAACGGTGCAGGAGTGGCGGTTGGAGCGGGATGGCAGGCTCTTGTGGCTTATGTCAACATTGGTTCTTACTATGTGTTTGGACTTCCTTTGGGTCTGCTGATGGGTTTCGTGCTCAATTGGGGTGTTTTGGTAAGTCCTCCTAGTTTTTTACTTCCATTTTCAGTTCATGCACCCACATAAAAATGCCCCTTTTTTTTGCTTTTAAAAATCCCGTCTTGGGCACGCACGGTGTCACAATTGCACTCTTGTGGTGGCAAAATAGTGATTGTGTGTCACTTGTTCTAACCTAGCAAACAAGTTAGCCATGTGAATTTCGCACTTCGCAGACAATATTGACGTTTGCTTGAGTCTCGAGTGTTTGTTTTGAGAGAGATGTTTTAGAAAATGTGAGTAAGAAAATAGGTTGAAACAATTTTAAAGAAAGTAATGTTATAAGTTAAAACCAAGTAGACAACAACGGTTTTGATAGTATATAATCCGGGTAGAAATAATTGACAACTAGTCATCTCTTCCTATAGTACATTTTGAAACATTTTAGGCTTAGCGGGTGTAGATATGATTTTAGAGATGGCTCATACACCTATGTATTGATGACTCATAAAACACAACAATAATAGTAAAAACCTATTTAACATGAAATCAAGTAAACGAGGATTTGGAATAGACATGTGGCCATGAACAACACGTCCTAGACAAGTATAATTGAGACATACAACATATTGTCCCAGACAACACCCTTAAACAAACATGATCGTGACACACAACTCGACTGACCTAGCACCTGTATGAGATAGGTTTTGAGCATAAATTTGAGGTTCAAAAGCGTAAGATAAAGTGTTGGATCAGGAAGCACCATCAAAAGTCTAATATATGGATGCTATTAATGGTAAAAAGAGTGTCTTTTTGATGGGTCAAGGCTTCTCGTTAGCATTAAAGTTTTTCACGTAAATGATAAGATGCCATAAAATCGTGATCGTTTTTGCTGAACTAATGATGTGTTCACTACAGGGAATATGGTATGGAATGATTAGCGGGATCATAATACAAACGAGCATTTTGATGATCATAGTTTACCGAACCAACTGGAACAAAGAGGTGAGTTTTGATTTTGGTTTGGTTTGATTGGATTTAGATGATATACTAAAACTGGAATGATGAAAAATGCAGGCTTCTGTGGCTGAGAATAGAATAAGGAAATGGGGAGGACACTCTGTTTCCTGATACAGCAAGTTTAAAAGGACATGCATGGAACACCGAAGAAGCCAAGTAAACCTGCCCAAACATTCATATCCAAAAGATATTTTTCTATATTTTTTTTATAAGAAAATCTACCAAAACAATGTAATTTTTATATTTTAATTTTAATTTAGGAATTAAATTTTCATTTTATTCCAATTTCGAACGGAAGTAAACACTGTGGAGTAATTTTAATTTAAGATTTTGAAAATTAAAGCCAGGTTTTCATCATTAGGGGTCATTTGGTTGAAATTTTTTAGCCACCAATATTAAAAATTATTCTCAAATGAAGGGTTTTAATATAATTATACAAAAATTTTGAAAATCAAATTGAATAATTAATTATACATATGATGATGATAATAATTAATTGTAAAATAGTAAAAAAAAGAAAGAAAAAAGATTAAATGTAAAATAAAAGTAAAAAAATGAAAAATGAAAAAGTAGAACTCTAATAAAAAAAATATATAACTAAATATAAATATTTTTCTCTAAAATAAATTCTCAACCTATTTAATATATTTTAAACCAAAATTAAAAGCTTTTAACATGTATAATTCAATTACAAATCTGATAGAAAAATTAATTAATAAAAAACTAAGCTTTTCTAATTAAAAGATTTACATGAACCATGTATTCTCTCTCTGATTCTCTCTTGCTAACTGTTTCTTTTAACTGGAATTTTCACTAGTTCTTCAATGATTGCTCAAGTGATCCCTCTTTCTTTACTATCTATCTCAAATAAAAAGCTCAAAATTCCGAAACCAGACTAGGAGAAAGATGGGAGAAGCATTTATAGAAAGATTAATTATGAACTTCTAACTATTAAACTTATAAGATTTGAAACTAATGAAAGCAAATAAACAGGCAGCAGCATAAAATTACACTAAACAAAATGCATTTTCCACAAGTATATTCAACTCTTTCTCATATGGGTATTAATAATTATAAGCTTCTAGACATCCTCAGCAAGCAATAAGAACATCAACATATGGTTAAAAAAAAAACATAACTAAATCCATCAAATTCACAGTAAAAGAAACGTCCATTTATCATCATCAATATCTGATCGACCAGTGGTAATAAGCATTCTTATTGCACAATGTTGAATAGTTCAGTAAACCTAAGGATCAAGCAGTAAAAGAGATATAGAAAACAACTTAAACATCGTATCAAGTGAGAGAATATGATTCGATAAAAGCTTAAATTATATAAAAAAAAAAGATCTTCAATAAGTTCAAACAGGCAACATTCAAATGCACCAAGAGCAAAAATCCCTATTATAACGAAAAGTAACTCAAACCTAGGCTGTAAGAACCACCGCGCCACCAGCCTCCTTGATCTTCTTCTCAGCGATCTTGGACACGAGCTTGGCCTTCACCACAATAGGCTGATTCTCCGGCAAGACACCCTTGCCTAAAACCTTGAAATAACCGAACTGCGTAACATCGACCAATGGAACATTGTCTTTGGAAGCCTTATCCTTCACTTCTTGAGGGATCAAGGACCAGATCTTGTCAACATTGACAATCGGGCAATAGAACTTGTTGCGAAGCTTGTGGAAGTAACGCATACCGACCTTACCGAAATAACCGGGATGATACTTGTCGAAGAGAATCCGATGGTGGTGCATACCTCCGGCGTTACCCCGACCACCTGGATGCTTTCGGTGTTTACCAATCCGACCATGACCGGCGCTGACGTGACCTCTCTTCTTCCTGTTCTTCTTGAAACGAGTCGTCATGGCGGATCTCTATCTCTCTCTCACACACACTCTCTCTAGGGTTTCGGCGGCTCGGAGGAGATGGAATGACGATAGGGTTTGGAGGATTATATCTAAGGAGAAGAGAGTAATCTTTTGGATTGGACTTGGGCCTCGAGATATCAGTAAGAAGTAATGGGTTTTGGAACGCCTTCGTTGGTCTTAGGCCCAATATGTTTAGGAAAGCCCACTTTTTCCACCCAAGCCCAAACATGTGTATGTGTGTGCGTGTTTTTTATTTTTATTTTTATTTTTAAATTTATTTATTTAAATTAACATGAAGCTTAGTTTACAAACATATTTTTTGTCCTTATGGTTGTTTATAAATCTAGACTCAATAAGTAAATAAGTAAATAAATAAAAAAAATGCCTTGTTTTGTATGTTGTCTCCCGGTCTAAAGACCGATTTAAAATTAGGTTAGTGACCCGAGCAAACCGAATAAAATTTACGACCTAACGTTGAATTATTTTTTTAAAAATTATTTACCGAGAATCCATCGTACATGTTATATTTATATCTAAAATTTCATAAAACTCAAATATTACCATGTATCATTCTCCCTCTTTAAAGTCGACCAATAAATGTTGACTACCCTAATTGCAGCACCTATCTCGAACAAATTCCAATATTCGACCCTTCCTTTGTCAAGAACTTGTATGCAACAGGCGAACTCAAGATAAGAAAAAGAGCTATAAGACAAAATGAAAATACTTTTTGATTAGCACAATACAAATTCGTTTATAATTGTTTAAGAACATATATTGTAGGAAGAGATCGTCAAAATATAACCAAACCCACCGTGACATTCGAATGAGAATAATCAAGCCTTACCTATAATATTTACATTTTGAGGAGTGGTCACTTTTGAAGTAGAAGCGCGGCACCAACCAAGCCCAGCCACAAGGTCAGCCCCACCCAGAAGGCTTGGGTTTTTCCCAACCCAATTGGCGGTCGCCAAACGAGGAAGTCCCCCAAATAATCTCTAGACGACGACACCTGATTCGTGGTCGACCAGCTTCCTTTCTGGTCTTTGTCTTTGTTCTTGTCGCTCCACGTTGCTGCGTAGCTGCATCATTCACGACTCTTGTTAGAACCAGAAGCCCGCGACAGCCATGGTATTGAACAGGGACCATTAAAATTTAGGCATGTTCAACATTTCTCTATTCAGAAAGCAAGTACAATACGTCATGTTTGCAGAACGTGATGAACAAAGACTAGTCTTGGGCTAACATTTTACGTATAGAATAGGAATTTCTTGAAATGGTTAGAACAATGATGCATACAGAAAACGAAAGGACCAAAATACTTTTTTAGTTGTTTTGGTGTTCATACAAGTTATTGACATTCAAAATCTTGTTGTATTTGCAATTTGGGTATATGAATGGACAAATAATTGAACTATTGGAGGATCAAGAAGGGTCTAATCATTTCATTTGACTGAACATGTTACACGTTTCATCAAAACTCTTAATGGAACATTGGAGTAACTCAATGTGAAGTTTATGGAAGAAAAAAGATTATATTACAGGAGAAAAATGTTAAGAGTTAGAAACGTTCAAGGGTATCTTAAGATGTTAACTAAATGAAAAACAGGCTACCAAACTGAAGCTAGAAACTTCGGACTGACAGACTAACAGACATGGTTTTTTATTTTCCTTTCTCCTTTCTCACAATTGCACGGGGAGATCTCATATCGATCGAAGAGAGGAACAAGTACTAGCGAGGATGCTGGGTCCTGATGGAGAATGGATTGTGAGATCCCCACATCGATTGGAGAAGAGAACGAGGGCCAGCATCCCCACATTGATTGGAGAAGGGAACGAGGGCCAGCGAGGATGCTGGCCCCGAATGAGGTGGATTGTGAGATCCCACATCGATTGGAGAGGGAAACGACTATCAACGAGGATGCTGGGCCTCGAAGGGGGGTGGATTGTGAGATTCCACGTCGATCGGAGAGGGGAACGAATGCCAACGAGGATGTTGGGCCCCGAAGGGGGTGGATTGTGTGATCACATATTAGTTGGAGAGGGGAACAAAACATTCTTTATAAGGGTGTGGAAACCTCTTCCTAGCATATACTTTTAAAAACCTTAAAGGAAATCCCGAAAGAGAAAGCCTGAAAAATACAATATATGCTACGAGTGGACTTGAGTAGTTACCTGCATTCTCTTACAAAGAAGGCTTTTAGATGACATTAACGAAGTTTCTCTATCAAGAAGTCAGAAAATGATGGGGAAATCCAAAGTGAAACTGCAGGCAGACATCTTGGTAGCCCAAATGCTTAATCAAAGCTAAAGGATGCGAAGATAACAAACATTATGCAAAAAGGTAAATTCTAAGTCATGCTAAAGCAGAAATTATGGAACAATGAGGCTCCAAGGAATTTGAAACGAGGCCAAACAATGATCCGAAAATATTTGTTGAACACAAAAGAGAGATCAGTTGATCACCTGTCGTACTCAGAACCGATTAGAGGTATTGTTACCATTTCCTCCTGTGATATCTTGATTTTTGGTGCTTGTAAGATATATCGAAGATCCGCCGCCTGTCGCCTGATGCTGACACTGGGGTGCGTCTTCTCTAATTGCCGGTACAAAGCAATGCAATCTCCATGGCGGTTATTTGCTTCATAAGCCATAGCTAGCCATATTTGGATCTGAAAACCAGAGGGAAAATTTGTGTTTCACGCAATAATGAGGTTCATAGCTCTAAATAGAAGCTTAAATTGAAACTCCATTGGAGCAGTAAACTGACCTCACCACCGAATAAAGTAGATCCGGGAATTATTGTAAGCGCGCCTTCTAAGAACTCGATGGCTCGCCTGTACATGCCTCTGCCGTACGCCTTCTGACCTAAATCAAACATCAACTGAGCCGTTTCTCTTCGTTCCGCCTGTTCCTTAGCCACCTATTCAGCCGTAATCAGAAAGGAAAAAGCACCTAATCGCCATCAATTTTTGCATCTTACAGAAACACGAATGTTCATCAAGCAAACGATATAGATTTTCAGCACAGGAAGGCAGAGAGAATGGTTGGATAAAGAGCGCAATGAAATGGAAGAACAGTAAATTAACGGATAATCAACAACCGATTGAAACTGCGAATGAAATAATCAGATAACTGACCTTTTCAAGCTCCTTTCTCACTCTCATCCTCTTCTCTTCCTCGGTTTCCTCTCCGTCCTCGCTCCCTTCTTCCTCAATTTTACTCTGTAATTCTTCCGCCTTCTTCTCCAATTCCTTCCTCTCCTCTATCTC